GATGAGTAGATAGAAGGAGGGGTAGACAGATAAATGGGTAGATGGATAGATGGGTAGCTAGATGGGTAGAAAGAAAGATGGGTAGAAGGATAGATGGTTGGATGGATAGATGAATAGATGAGTAGATAGAAGGAGGGGTAGACAGATAAATGGGTAGATGGATAGATGGGTAGCTAGATGGGTAGAAAGAAAGATGGGTAGAAGGATAGATGGTTGGATGGATAGATGAATAGATGAGTAGATAGAAGGAGGGGTAGACAGAAAGATAGAAAGATGGATAGATGGGTAGCTAGATWGATGGGAAGATAGATAGGTTGATGGATAGAGAGAAAGATGGGTAGATAGATAGATAAATGGGTAGATAGATGATAAATAGAAAAAGGGGTAGATAAATATATAAATGGGTAGATAGATAGATGATAGATAGAAAGAGGGGTAACTAGATAGATAAATGGGTAGATGGGTAAATAGATAGATAGTGAGGACAGCAGCCTTCAAGGTCAAAGGTCAGCAGCTCACTGAATGTTAACAGCCCTCCCCTTTTCCCAAATAGCCAAAATATGGATGCTTGAACAAGTGTAGATCTACTTTCATTGGACATGCCCCTCCCATGAGTACAACCCMCTGAGGCACCCTGAAGGGACCAGTTGTATTAAAATGCTCCCTTTATGTGGTCTCCAGGACAGAGGTGGAGGAGAAAAGAGGGGGTAAAATAAAGAACGACAGAAGGAGAAAGAGAAGAATAAGCTGCCAGGGCTAAAATACTGAGATTGTTAGCGCTCCGTGCTAAAAGACTGGTTTTACTAGCACCTCCTCTGATTGGCTGATTTAGGACTCACCGCTCCAGCAGTGAGAGAATTTTTATCTGGGTCGTTTATACCGATTGATTTCACACTTAACCTCCTGGCAAGTTAACAGGGCCTCTGCGGAGCATTAGATCTGACGTCTTTATGTATTAATGTAATATTAATAATTCCCTCTGAGATTAAAACTCTTTACCAAACTGTAATACTGCACACCACCTCAGAGAAGTGGTCACGGCTAAATGCACTGCTGTGATTAATTAATAATGCTCATTGATATAAAAGGCCGACAGCTGCAGGTGAAATACTCTTACAGTTAAATGATGCTTCTTTTCTCCTCCTCGCAGTCTGAGCTGAGTAGTCAACAGCTCTGATGTATTAGTGTCTATTGATTGTCTAATAGCTGTTTGTGTTTGTGTGTGTGTGGTGTGTGTGTGTGTGTACGTCAGACAGAGCTCAGACTTTTAGCTGAGTGGACTTCCAAAGTAGAACCACAACAGCTCTTTGTCTGCATGTGGTTCAGTCTCTCCTTTAAAACCACATGAAAACTAAGTGATGTTAAAGATAAAGTTAAACTTCTAGCTTTTTTTCTCATAAAAACTTTTCAAATTCCACGTGGAATTAAGCAAATTTACTTAACAACTATACAAACATGAGGAGCCTGTCTGAGCATTTACAATTATACTTTCATTTCAGTGCAAAAAAACGTATTTTACAGTATCGAACTAAAAGTTCTGGTTATTATTAACTTTATTTATGAAGATAACACARTAAATTACAGTGTGAAACCTCAAAATCAGAGGAATACGCAATCATTTTGGCTTAAATCATTTTATGCTCTGCACTTTTAGGACATACATGTAACATGTTGGTAATCTTAATACATTAAACAGTGAATTCATATAAAATTACTAACATGCACTCTAAAAAAACAAAGTGTTGAATTTACTTAAAAAAGTTATGTCAACAGGTTCCACTTAAGTAAATATGAAGCAATTTAAATCAACTTTAAGTAACTTGGTTAAGTAAATTTAGCACTGAATGGTTTTATTCCAATAAAAATGAGAAACTAACAAATTGATGCTTCAGTCACAACTTGTCATCATGTCAGAAGGAGCTTTAACACCGGTTAATAACAGCAATAACTAAAGCAAAGCTTAGGAAACCCAAGTTAACCTTAACTATAGAATTTCCTAAGGAGAAAAAAGGCTCAGTCCTGATGGGTTTTCAGCTTCGTGGACAGAAACTGGAAGTTCAAAAGAGGAGCCAGATAACTTTGCTAAACTATAGGAATCACAAGTAAACCCTGAAGTCTGAGAGTTAGGAAAATGTAGAACACTAAAATCTTTAGCTGTTAAAAATGCATTTTTATTAATTAGAATGTAATTTTAAGCTGGGTTAGTAC